AAACAGAAAATATGAATACATGAGTTGATCAAAAGGAGAATTGTTGCATCTGAGACTAGAAAGTAACTAAAGGGAATGAAGAAAAGGCTTGCTGTACAGCTGATAGTTCTTATATGCACCATCATTTATCTGGAAAACATTTCTATACTAATAATTGGTATTGGTCACATCATGCAGAAGTATAACCCACAGTAAGCAAATGGCTTGAAATTGTTGTCTCAGAAATGAATAGTACTGAAAAAATAGAAGCCACCAGTTTTTGGTTGTTGTACATATTCAGGGTCCCTCAGCTGGTAAATGGGAAGCCCTAAAAGGAACCAAGTTCTGCAAAACTACAAACCATTGCTCTTTCTACATCCCTACACTGTAGCAGTCTGTAAGTCCTGTTCCAGCTCTTCAGTGCAATGTGTGTGTGGCACATACACACTCGCAGTAGGCTTGGCACTTGCCTTGCTTTGAGAGACTCTCTGAAAAATCTTTGTGTGTGCTTAAACCCTTCTGACATCACCATTCAATGACGTATCCTTCCCTTGGGATAAGTGAGATTAGCAGATGACTATTGTCTGTTGCTCTTAAGCAAGTTACATGAAGACCTTTATGCCCCTTCCAGAGAGCCTACACTTTGCAATGAAAGAGGTAATCATATATATTAATGCCAAATTTCCTATTAAAAATCTCAATTTTATTGGTGATTGCATTTGTCTGATGTTTCATGTTGCTAGAGAACAGGAAGACATTTTTCCTTTAATGTTGGCGTACTAAGAGTTATCCAGGTGGGTGTCACCAGAGGCCCCCAATTTCTACCCCAACAGAATGTAATAAAGTGCTCAGAAGACAGCCCTTTTTGGAACTGCTGCCTGGTTAGCCCCCAGAACTTGGTTGAGGGCTATATTTGTCCCCTGCCTTGCTCAATCAAGCCTTGCTGACTTGGAGCCCAGAACTCCTTGGAGTTTTTAATAATCCACCCCATAAATTTCCCTTGGCAGAGGGCTTGAAGCAATATGGGTGACATTAATTACTACTAAGTTTTGGATTTGAAGGGATGAAAAGATAGTGAAGTCTTTGACTGATCTCCGTTTCTAGATATCAAAGTAAAGCCTGGCCGAGCAAGGGGAGTTATCCTGATTTTGGCAAGTGCTAGGATATTTCCCATAACTGCCTGATTGGACATATCCACACTGCCTTTGGACCAAGACCAAAGAAATATTTGGACTTGTCTGTGCAGCAGATGCGCAACAGACGTGGTTCATTTGACTCCTCGGTTGTTTGGGTGACAATGTTATCTTAACTCCTTATCCTCTTGTCTGCTTGTGATACTAACTCACATGGCAGTGGAGCAATCAACCCCAGACTTCCCCTGCTGCCTGGAGCTCAGCCAGTACTGCCTTCTTCACCCTCCTCTCTATCACGTGGAAGAACAGTTGCATCACTTGTTACAACTGAGCAGGGAGTGGCCATGGACCATTTTGTGTCACAGGCTTTAAGTTTTGCTGAAATTTAAAAACAGACCCAAACAAACTATCTGGAGTTACTTGGTCAGGAATGAACTTGCATACTACCCATGAGGAGAGCTACAACTTGTGATTTCCTGGGTGCCAGGGAGCTAGACACCAGACCTGAGATGG